TCAGCAGGACGTGATACTTCAAGTGTAGGCACTCGCGGCTCTTCAACAGTGCACAGCGACGGGAGTGATTTTCACAAAAAACAACATTTTCTCCCAAAGCCTGGTGGACCTGGCAAGTTCCTCCTGAAGAAAACAATGTCTCGCTTTACAAAAAGAGTGTTCGAGCAACACACAGATATGTTGGGAACAATGGTTTGACTACATGTCTCACTTAAAATAAAAAAAGTTTGGAGTGATCTTTGGTGCTCGGTGACAGAACCAGACGAGATCCAAAGAGCTGTTGGCACTAATCTCCAATCCCAACATTAACGGAGCGTTCACAACGGACGGGGAGCGAATATTTTGCATTTAAAGTCAATGAAAAGACGGCGGCGCCAATGAAACTGATGATATGGCTACGCTGTATTCATAAGACTTCAATTTTTCAACTCCAGCGATACATTTGGTTGACTATTTTTTACAAAAAGTCAATCAGCGGTGAGAATCTCCATCGGTCGTTTCTGCCGTTGTTGACACATACAACCATACAGCAGCCGTTAGCCGTGAGCACACATTTCCTCCTACTTGTTCAGAAACGGGAGAAATAGAAATATCAGTGTTTTCAAAAGTGTACAAACCACAGACGGTCCACGGCAAATACAGTCTGTGCTTTATTATTGTCTGTATGATGTTATTTTGTGCGGGACAGAGAATCTGCTACGGTAGCTTAGCATAGCCTGATTGATATCCATTACATGCAACGATATCAGTATCATGTTATTCCAGCATCATTTTGTGTATTATATTTACACCATGGCATATATGTTAGTGTTGGTATCTATATGGAGATAAGCCCCACCTCCTCGACAGCGCATCTACTTTGGGTGACGCGAGTAAACGCCAACGATGCCGCGGTCAAACTTTAAAGGCAAACATTCGCTCCACGTCCGGTTGTGAACGCACCTTAAGACAGAGGACAGTATAAAGGAGTGCTGCAGGACGACAAGAACCCACGGAGAACATCAGTATGGCTATACAAAATCCTTCATTTAGCACGAGGCTGCACTCGCCTCCTCGATTACTACGACAGTTCATCGTCTCTTCTTCCACTCCCTTTGACTTCTGAGGTCAACGCTCGGCCCTCTTGGACCAGGAGACACCCCGAGAAAAAACACCTTCACACACGTTAATATCAGTCTAATATTAACTCCATTAGTACTATATTTTATAAAAAAAGAAGCTTCAATATGTTCCTATGTACCTTGTGAATTTAGAATAAAAAAGAGAAAGTAAAATCACAGCATAGATGCAGATTCTCCTGAAGCCTGCACAGTAATTAGGGTCTCTCTTTGTTTGCATATACCGCTGATTCATTATGCTGCGGGTGGAAATCAAATCTTTTATTTTTAAATGTGCTCCGGAAAAGCTTGTTTGAAAGGTGCTGAGAGAAAGATCCTCCTGCGCTTACTCTGGAGGGACGCAGGGCAGCGAGGCCGATCTGGAGTGTTAAGATAATGGGAGTGAGCGCAAAAGAAATCCACTTTTTCGGGGATAAGATCTGCTTCAGCCGACCCGACCAGCCGCTGCACGTCCGCCTTGTTTCCCGCGATTTCCCCCGAGAAGGCGTCGTAGAAAAATAGTTCTCAAGAGGAGTTTTTCCAGTAAAGTGATTAAAAAGTCAAGAGTGTTGTTTACTGCATGATGAAGCCGGGCGTCGGGGCCAGACGAGGGGCGGGCCTCTGAGGCACGGCGGGGGGGTACTGAGACATGAAGTGGGCGGGGTATCCAGAAGAGACGTTGGGGAAAGGTTGACCCGTTCTGGGAGGAATCGGCGGGTACGGAGAGTAGACAGCAGGGGGTTCGGCGGCGGGATATTGGTTGAGAATTGGCGCCGGTTGGGACGGAGGGTTTTTCCTCCTGGGTTGAGCAGCGGGAGACGATCCGCTGCTGCCGTTAATCAGCGAGGCGACAGACGAAGGAACGTCCTGAGATCGAGAGTTTGGGACCGTGGGGAGCCGATGGCCGTTCATCACCATCTCCTGAAGCTTCTCGATCTTCACCCTCCGCAGGTGGGCCAGCTTCCTGTTGCTCTGGTACGAGTCGATGAAGGAGTCCAGAGGCATGTCTCCGTCCAGGAAGCAGTCGGCCATGTTCTGCAGACAGAGAATAGTCCTGTGGTTTAGGGTCAATTTCAAACTAACAAGTGGGGAGTGGGAGAGGGTTATAAAACCCTCCAACAGGAAGTTATCAAACCCTCCAACAGGAAGTTATCAACCCCTCCAACAGGAAGTTATCAACCCCTCCAACAGGAAGTTATCAACCCCTCCAACAGGAATATATCAAACCCTCCAACAGGAAGTTATTAAACCTCCAACAGGAAGTTATTAAACCCTCCAACAGCAAGTTATTAAACCCTCCAACAGGAAGTTATTAAACCCTCCAACAGGAAGTTATTAAACCTTAAATAGGAAGTTATTAAAGCCTCAAATAGGAAGTTATTAAACCCTCCAACAGGAAGTTATTAAACCTTAAATAGGAAGTTATTAAAGCCTCAAATAGGAAGTTATTAAAGCCTCAAATAGGAAGTTATTAAACCTTAAATAGGAAGTTATTAAACCCTCCAATAGCAAGTTATTAAAGCCTCCAACAGGAAGTTATTAAACCTGAAATAGGAAGTTATTAAAGCCTCCAACAGGAAGTTATTAAACCCTCCAACAGGAAGTTATTAAACCCTCCAACAGGAAGTTATTAAACCTTAAATAGGAAGTTATTAAAGCCTCCAATAGGAAGTTATTAAAGCCTCCAATAGGAAGTTATTAAACCTTAAATAGGAAGTTATTTAACCCTCCAATAGGAAGTTATTAAACCTTAAATAGGAAGTTGTTAAACCCTCCAATAGGAAGTTATTAAACCTGAAATAGGAAGTTATTAAACCCTCCAACAGGAAGTTATTAAACCTTAAATAGGAAGTTATTTAACCCTCCAATAGGAAGTTATTAAACCTTAAATAGGAAGTTGTTAAACCCTCCAATAGTAAGTTATTAAAGCCTCCAATAGTAAGTTATTAAAGCCTCCAATAGTAAGTTATTAAATCCTCCAACAGGAAGTTATTAAACCTTAAATAGGAAGTTATTAAAGCCTCCAATAGTAAGTTATTAAAGCCTCCAACAGGAAGTTATTAAACCTTAAATAGGAAGTTAGTAAAGCCTCCAACAAGAAGTTATTAAAGCCTTCAACAGGAAGTTATCAAACCCTCCAACAGCAAGTCTGCATTATCATTTTATTTTGTTAACTTTGTACAGTATTGCTTTTTGCAGCTCTGACACCTGAATAGTTGTATGGGATATCATACACAAGTTCCTTATGTCATCTAATCTTTTGGTTAAATTAGTAGTTTGTAACATCTCTAATTTTGGGATAACCACTTTAATGATTTGCACAATAGGTCAGGACAGGACAGGTAGATATTGCAGGAATAAATATGTTGACCTCAAATGTAGTCTTTCTGCCCACATGCTCTGCAAAAGGAGGGTTGGACTGAACAATGCCTCCTCTGTAGGGAGGACATCAGGTATATAAATGACTGTCTGATGTTACTGAGGGAAACATGGAGTCATCATGGAGAAAGAAATAATGCTCACCTCTGTCTCCTCCTCTATTTTAGCTCCCTCCGCCTGAAGAAGGGCCAGCAGAATGTCCAGGGAGGTGTTTCCTGACGTGTGGTCTGTGAAATAAAAAGAAATAAAATGTTATTATACTTAAGGACCCCACCTAAACACACATTGGACTGATTTAAAACGGCTCCTTAAAAAAGGGGCCATATTCTATTCTATTCTATGACACAATCAGAAGGACAATTTCCCGAACTCGTTTCAATGAGGACATCTGAGGAGCACCTGCTGTGGTTCAACCCAACGTTAGCCACCTTTAGCTTAGCGGTGGTGACGTGAAGTCATGTGACCGTGCTGTAGTTCCTTTATAGTCCAACATTAGCCACCTTTAGCTTAGCGGTGGTGATGTGAAGTCATGTGACCATGCTGTAGTTCCTTTATAGCCCAACATTAGCCACCTTTAGCTTAGCGGTTGTGACGTGAAGTCATGTGACCGTGCTGTAGTTCCTTTATAGCCTAACATTAGCCACCTTTAGCTTAGCGGTGGTGACGTGAAGTCATGTGACCGTGCTGTAGTTCCTTTATAGCCCAACATTAGCCACCTTTAGCTTAGCGGTGGTGAAGTGAAGTCATGTGACCGTGCTGTAGTTCCTTTATAGCCCAACATTAGCCACCTTTAGCTTAGCGGTTGTGAGGTGAAGTCATGTGACCGTGCTGTAGTTCCTTTATAGCCCAACGTTAGCCACCTTTAGCTTAGCGGTGGTGAAGTGAAGTCATGTGACCGTGCTGTAGTTCCTTTATAGCCCAACATTAGCCAACTTTAGCTTAGCGGCGGTGACGTGAAGTCATGTGACCGTGCTGAAGCTCCTTTATAGCCCAACGTTAGCCACCTTTAGCTTAGCGGTGGTGACGTGAAGTCATGTGACTGTGCTGTAGTTCCTGTATAGCCCAACATTAGCCTCCTTTAGCTTAGCGGTGGTGACGTGAAGTCATGTGACTGTGCTGTAGTTCCTTTATAGCCCAACATTAGCCTCCTTTAGCTTAGCGATGGTGAAGTGAAGTCATGTGACCGTGCTGTAGTTCCTTTATAGCCCAACATTAGCCATTTTTTTAGTGGTTTTTAAATGTGGAGTTTATCCTGCTGAACTAAAACGTGTAAGAATCATAAACGTGTGTTTGACACAGAGATTCTTTCTGCAATGATCCAAAATCAAATGGAGAAATCCCATTGAACCAGGGAGATGCTGCCTTCAGGGTCCAAAGCAAAAATCAGTCATCCAGCACCTCTCTAAGGTGCTTGTTTACTAAAGGTAAAGAGGCTTTGAAATGTCCTTAAGTAAAAAGTACCCATAACTAGCAGCTGCTTTAAAGAGTACCTGACCTCCCTTTATATTAATAGAACAATAATGTCATTGTTAGCTAATGAATGTTTCCATGCTGAACAACGGCAACATGACAACGTTTCCATTGGTCCCTCTTCTTTAGAGAAGACCAGGAAATGATGGATACACGGATCGTGTTCAAATCAATAGGCACACAATGACTCTAAAGAATAATGATCACGCATCAAACACACATTCAGACTAAAGGAACCAGCTGTTTGGAGAATGAGAGAAGTAGAAAGTACAGGTATTTGTGTTCAACATGTGAGAAGTAGAAAGTACAGGTATTTGAGTTCAACATGTAAGAAGTAGAAAGTACAGGTATTTGAGTTCAACATGTAAGAAGTAGAAAGTACAGGTATTTGTGTTCAACATGTAAGAAGTAGAAAGTACAGGTATTTGTGTTCAACATGTAAGAAGTAGAAAGTACAGGTATTTGTGTCAACATGTGAGAAGTAGAAAGTACAGGTATTTGAGTTCAACATGTAAGAAGTAGAAAGTACAGGTATTTGTGTTCAACATGTAAGAAGTAGAAAGTACAGGTATTTGAGTTCAACATGTAAGAAGTAGAAAGTACAGGTATTTGAGTTCAACATGTTAGAAGTAGAAAGTACAGGTATTTGTGTCCAACATGTAAGAAGTAGAAAGTTCAGGTATTTGTGTTTAACATGAGAGAAGTAGAAAGTACAGGTATTTGAGTTCAACATGTAAGAAGTAGAAAGTACAGGTATTTGTGTTCAACATGTAAGAAGTAGAAAGTACAGGTATTTGAGTTCAACATGTAAGAAGTAGAAAGTACAGGTATTTGTGTTCAACATGTAAGAAGTAGAAAGTACAGGTATTTGTGTTCAACATGTAAGAAGTAGAAAGTACAGGTATTTGTGTTCAACATGTAAGAAGTAGAAAGTACAGGTATTTGTGTTCAACATGTGAGAAGTAGAAAGTACAGGTATTTGTGTTCAACATGTAAGAAGTAGAAGGTACAGGTATTTGTGTTCAACATGTAAGAAGTAGAAAGTACAGGTATTTGTGTTCAACATGTAAGAAGTAGAAAGTACAGGTATTTGTGTTCAACATGTAAGAAGTAGAAAGTACAGGTATTTGTGTTCAACATGTAAGAAGTAGAAAGTACAGGTATTTGTGTTCAAAATGTAAGAAGTAGAAAGTACAGGTATTTGTGTTTAACATGAGAGAAGTAGAAAGTACAGGTATTTGGGTTCAACATGTAAGAAGTAGAAAGTACAGGTATTTGTGTTCAACATGTAAGAAGTAGAAAGTACAGGTATTTGTGTTCAACACGTAAGAAGTAGAAAGTACAGGTATTTGGGTTCAACATGTAAGAAGTAGAAAGTACAGGTATTTGGGTTCAACATGTAAGAAGTAGAAAGTACAGGTATTTGAGTTCAACATGTAAGAAGTAGAAAGTACAGGTATTTGTGTTCAACATGTAAGAAGTAGAAAGTACAGGTATTTGTGTTCAACATGTAAGAAGTAGAAAGTACAGGTATTTGGGTTCAACATGGAAGAAGTCAAAGTAAAAAGTCGTCAGAAAAATAAGTAGTGGAGTAAAGTACTGATACCAGAAATATGTACAGTAACAAAGTATTTGTACTCCACTACTTCCCACCTCTGCTTATGCATGGTGGCTCTCCAGCAAACACACCACTAGTTACTGATTTGAAGTACAGAAATGTGTCCGTCATTCCTCCTGCCTCCACACAATAAACAGGACATTTAATTACAGACAGGCTACGGTCTAACCTGATATGTTATTCTACAGCATGCAGGCTGACTATGAATCATGCATGAACTCAGATAAAGACTTAATCACATGACGATCACAACAGAGCCGGCCAGCTAACCAATCAGAGCTGACTGGGCTCTGGTTTCAGACAGAGGGTGAAAAGAGGTGCTGCAGCACATTAAAGCATGGAGACATGTAGAGACACTACATACTGATATACACCTGAACATCAACAGGAGAGGACTCTTTAAAGTAGAGACACTACATACAGATATACACCTGAACATCAGCAGGAGAGGACTCTTTAAAGTAGAGACACTACATACTGATATACACCTGAACATCAGCAGGAGAGGACTCTTTAAAGTAGAGACACTACATACTGATATACACCTGAACATCAGCAGGAGAGGACTCTTTAAAGTAGAGACACTACATACTGATATACACCTGAACATCAGCAGGAGAGGACTCTTTAAAGTAGAGACACTACATACTGATATACACCTGAACATCAGCAGGAGAGGACTCTTTAAAGTAGAGACACTACATACAGATATACACCTGAACATCAGCAGGGAGAGGACTCTTTAAAGTAGAGACACTACATACTGATATACACCTGAACATCAGCAGGAGAGGACTCTTTAAAGTAGAGACACTACATACTGATATACACCTGAACATCAGCAGGAGAGGACTCTTTAAAGTAGAGACACTACATACTGATATACACCTGAACATCAGCAGGAGAGGACTCTTTAAAGTAGAGACACTACATACTGATATACACCTGAACATCAGCAGGAGAGGACTCTTTAAAGTAGAGACACTACATACTGATATACACCTGAACATCAGCAGGAGAGGACTCTTTAAAGTAGAGACACTACATACTGATATACACCTGAACATCAGCAGGAGAGGACTCTTTAAAGTAGAGACACTACATACTGATATACACCTGAACATCAGCAGGAGAGGACTCTTTAAAGTAGAGACACTACATACAGATATACACCTGAACATCAGCAGGAGAGGACTCTTTAAAGTAGAGACACTACATACTGATATACACCTGAACATCAGCAGGAGAGGACTCTTTAAAGTAGAGACACTACATACTGATATACACCTGAACATCAGCAGGAGAGGACTCTTTAAAGTAGAGACACTACATACTGATATACACCTGAACATCAGCAGGAGAGGACTCTTTAAAGTAGAGACACTACATACTGATATGCACCTGAACATCAGCAGGAGAGGACTCTTTAAAGTAGAGACACTACATACTGATATACACCTGAACATCAGCAGGAGAGGACTCTTTAAAGTAGTGACACTACATACTGATATACACCTGAACATCAGCAGGAGAGGACTCTTTAAAGTAGTGACACTACATACTGATATACACCTGAACATCAGCAGGAGAGGACTCTTTAAAGTAGTGACACTACATACTGATATACACCTGAACATCAGCAGGAGAGGACTCTTTAAAGTAGTGACACTACATACTGATATACACCTGAACATCAGCAGGAGAGGACTCTTTAAAGTAGAGACACTACATACTGATATACACCTGAACATCAGCAGGAGAGGACTCTTTAAAGTAGAGACACTACATACTGATATACACCTGAACATCAGCAGGAGAGGACTCTTTAAAGTAGAGACACTACATACTGATATACACCTGAACATCAGCAGGAGAGGACTCTTTAAAGTAGAGACACTACATACTGATATACACCTGAACATCAGCAGGAGAGGACTCTTTAAAGTAGAGACACTACATACTGATATACACCTGAACATCAGCAGGAGAGGACTCTTTAAAGTAGAGACACTACATACTGATATACACCTGAACATCAGCAGGAGAGGACTCTTTAAAGTAGAGACACTACATACTGATATACACCTGAACATCAGCAGGAGAGCACTCTTTAAAGTAGAGACACTACATACTGATATA